ACTCTGCCATGCGGCAATGGGGCTCCTCGCTGCATCACAACGGGCTGGGTCTCATTCCCGCCACGGTGCCCAAGGGCACGCTGCTGTATCACGGCACGAGGTCGAATAGTACCCCCGACAGCTTCGAGTGGCTCGCGTTCGAGATGGAGCACTCGGAGGGGTTCGCGAGGAGTTTCCGGGGCGGGAGGGGGTCGCCGCCTCCGAGGCCGCCTGGGAAGGGTAAGGGTCCCGGGGGTCCGCCGGGTAGTGGTGGCGGTGGACCACCTGAAGGACCGCATGGCTCGGAGCCTATTCTCATGATGGGACAGGAGGGAAGTCAACGGCCTATTGGGGCGGATGTCGACGACGATGATGACAGGAAGAAGCCTCCTCCGAAGGGACCTGGTGGACCCGGCGGTGGCGACGGGAAGCCTGTCCGGGGATACTTCCACACCTACCGCGCGAAGCGGGATCTGAAGCTGCTGTACCTCGACGGCATGGCGGCCGGTAAAACTGGTATGGGCACGCTCGACACACAGGATTTCCTGCTACGCGGTCTCAAGGAGGCGCCCGGGTTCGGGGAGTGGGACCGGGCCGCGGATATATGTGATGTCGTCGAGGCGTGGGGGCTGGACGGGGTGATTAGGATGGAAATCGGCTTCGAGGCGATTTACTGCGACTTCCACGACGGACTTGCGCTCGAGAGCGTGCTGCGGCGGCCGTGGAATGATGTCCCCGAGGCAGGGGGCGGTATCGACATGTTTGAGTGGGCGAGGGCCGTCGGGCAGCGGTATGATGGCATCGGCGGCGGGCGGGTGAGGCTTGGGTTTGGGGGGATGGTGAGCGGGTTGTGGTATCCTTTGAATGTGAGTAATCCGAATGGGAGGGTCGATATGCCGCGCCTGGGACGGTTGACGGAGGCGGAGAGGGGGGTTATGCTTGGACGGGTTGGGGAGATTGTGAAGGGTGCGGAGTGGGAGGATGGGAGGGTTGATTGGCAGGGTGTTGTTGATATGATTGTTACGAGGCATGGTGATCGGATTGAGACGTTGGCGGATGAGGGGGCGGATGGAGGGGATGAGGGGTTTGTGGCGCAGGTTTTGACTGTTACGAATACCTTTGTGGATTATCCGAGGGATGCGGACGATTCTGCTGTTGTTGCGAAGGAGCAGAAGGGGGAGGAGGAGGATGGGTACGTGAGGGAGGCGCGGGAGCGGTGCGTGAAGCACTTTTTGACGCCGGCGACGGTTTGGAAGGCCGAGTGGACGCCCGAGGACGGGATGATGTACGTTGCTGTCGAGGCTGTCGTCCAACGGCTCTGCGGAGACCTCTTTGATGTCCGGGGTCTCGTTCTACAGGCGTTACCGGCGTTGGTCGGGGCCGTTTCCGAGGCGGAGGTCCGGCGCGTGGTCGACGACAGTCACGGGGACGACGATAAGAAGCTCGAGGGTGCGGTGACAAAGGGCCGCAAGGTGATTCAGGCGCTGAAGGAGGATCTCGGATGGAGCACGTGGAAGAAGTGTAGGCCTGGGTGCGACGTCGGGGAGATTTGCTTCATTGCCATGTGGCCTTTTGGGCTGGAGGAGGATCACTTCCATCCGAGCTGTCATAACCGCAGTTCGTTGGCGGGCAGGGATGGGCGACGGGGTACTGGGAAGGGGTATTGGGAGTGGGAGCCTAGGCCTTGAGGGTGGTGATGTAGATAGAATAGGAGGGGCGGGTAGATTTCCTTGGTGTTTCGATTTGGATCGAGATGTTTCCTAGATTCTAGCTCGCTTCTATATCGAGATCTTGACACGGTTCTAACTTTGAACCTTTTTGCTGGAGAGTGAATGCGACGCCGGTGATGTGTATTCACCTCGACGAGGCAGGATACTTGAATACCTTCCTCTTCGTTCCTGTCACCAAGCGCTTCGGGTAAGTTGGTCGAGGGGTTCATGGGGGAAGACCCGAGTGTGGATCTCAGTCCCTTCGACCACCGGATCTGACGTATGGTTTTTTGTTCGATTCCATATCGAGGAATGACTTTTCGTGAACTTTCTGGAAATTGTTATAAGGCTATTGAAGTGAAGAGACAGATGATAGGCATCACGCACCACTTGACCGGATTGAATTAGCCAGTACATCTGCTCTTCATGACGAGGGCAGTGTTTTTCTTTTTAGTATATTCAATGCTCGAGTTCGTATACGAAATTCGTGATGCCAGCCTAGCCAGGACAGGCGATCTTTCTCTTGTTCGTCTTCGTCTTGTTCTCATGACCACTCAGCGGCGGCGACGACGACCGCGGCTTGAGAAACATACAAACGTGGATGTCACTCGACCCAGAGAAGCTCTAACGATCTAAGATTCTGCTCGTTCACCATGGACACCTGACTTCCCGGGTTGACATCTACCAACAGAGCAGGTTCTCAAGGTGGCCATATTTCGCCTCAATGGAACTCTCGCGATGGTAATATATCGGAAGGGCGTGAGTGACAGCATGTTAATTGGTCCCTTCAATCCAAACGTCGGCGTTTTCTTCCCGTTGAGCCGCCTCTTGGGATCGATTTGGTGGTGATGAAGGATGAGATGGCAGCCAACTATCAGGTTGATATCCCGATCACAGCAAAACCCTCGACAGGCGATGTGCCACGACAATTGCCACACTACTGCGAAAGATTCACGTAAACTCGCGGTCAAGTTGGCATTTGCAAGAACACAATATGCTGACATCTCATTGACCTGGTGGACTTTCGGCCGCAATCTACTTCCGCAAATGAACCTCCGCCTCAATCATCTCAAAAATAAAATCCTTCACCGAGGAGATGCAATATTCAAAACCAAATCATCAAAATTCCAAATCCCGTGAATCTCCATCCAAAGATCCAAATCTAGACCCAGTCAACCCACGGTTGACGTCGTGTGTCGTCGCGTTGGTCATGCTCACCCGAAAAAATGGTCCCACAATGGAAGCTCGCACCTCGGACATTTCGCAATAGCGAGATCTGCGAGGTCACGACTCAGCGCACACTGCGTAACGACGTAAACGTGCCAAACGCACCAAGGCAGCTGCGGTAAAGTGGAATCATGCCAAGATTGGGGTAACGGTGCCTTCAGTAAGCACGTCTTTACTGCCTATCATGAGTGCATACTGTCGGTTTGGGGCTTCTTGCGCCAAAGCCAAAGGTAGGAGACATGAACTGGGTGCTGGTACTTGTTTTCGTGCTGAGAATACCTACTCTATCGAACCATACTCGACCTCAAAACTCTCTGCGCTCGTCAATGAGAAAAGCATGATTGGTCTTCGTCCACGGCATCCATAGTTCTAGAACATTTACACGCAGTCATACTCGTCCAAATCAAGGGTACCATAATGCTCACAGCCACGACCCACGATCTATCCCCACCGCCCTCTTCCCTGAACACGCATCACGCCCTACGCGACCCGGTCCGCGGAGAAGGTTTCCCCAGGTCCCAGGTCATGGGCCCCCTCCGCTAGCCCTGTGGGATCATCGGGAGGGATCGTGGAACCACGACATTTCTTTGGGCATTGGATTCTCAGTGCGGTTCCGCGTTTGTGCGTTTTCTGTTTCTTACAAAGTCATCCCGGGAAATCTCTCGAGGTATTAGGTAATTGCTCCCAGCGCGTCAGCTGGCGGCGCAAAGCTGCACTGATGTGGCGGCGGGATGCGGGAGAGCGCAGCGGGATCATGTTCTTAGCGTTGTGGCCGGGCTGGGGATAGGCGCCGTTGGGGTTCGTTGGTTAATGGTCATGGGCTAAGAATTTGCATTTGTGGTAGGTATTACACGCACAAGGACTCGAGGAGCGACATTGAGACTGCCATGCCATCAACTCAAGGCACGAGGAATATCGGATTCAAAGTCTTGATCAAGTCATAGAGGCTCATCCATCGCACAGGAATTCAGCACCTGGGATGAGTCCGATGGAGACTTTCATCCCGTCGGCTCGGGAAGAGTTGGAACAGGGAACTGGGCACGCCTCGCGGTGATCTTTTGCCAGCCCTAGTGTCCGTATTTGTTTGTTGTCCAAGAAAAATCAATTTGCTTCCGAATCGAGTCAGCAGGAAAACCCAGTGCTCCTTTCTCGTCATATTTGCCATAGTCTACCCACAAATCGGCGTCCACTAAGGCTTCGAACGATATTCAGCGAAACTAGCAGGACGGTGATTCCCATGAAATGTGACGCAAATGCCCAACTGTACCCGTACGGACGAATCACAAACAGATCTAATTACAAGCCACTCAAAACGGGAGTGGCGGTGCGACATTGTTGTCTCTCGTCTCTGAAAACCATGTTTCTCGCCTGTTGAACTTTTGACTCTTGACTCTTGACTCTTAACTCTGGTGAGTGTGAGGCGTCGGCCACTCGGTACACCTCACCCTCCATGTTCCACCGTCCCTTTCCTCACCATCTGTCAAGAATCAATTCCAGGCACAGAATCGATAGCCGGGGACGCCACTGTAATCGACTGAGAGGAAAAAGAGAAACCAGTGTCTAGCATCCCATGTACCCTGCTCCAACACACGCCACAGCTGGTTTTCGCCTGCAGAATTAGGCTTTGACAGGCGAGGGAGGCAGCGTTGCTAATTGAGTTAGTGCCAGGAACCACCTACGCCACCAAAGAGGTTTGATGTTTCTGGCTCCTCTGGAACTCGGACGCTTGGCCGCCGCGCCGCGCTCGTGACAACTTTGACAGAAGAGAATGCGCGTCTGCAACATCTCAGACCTTGGAGACTCCGACGGCGGTTCTCGATCCATCTTGCAGCTTGCATGCTGCCACCGGCTGTTACCGGCAGGGCAGAGAGGTCAGTGCCATTACGCAGTGACGAGTGGCACGTGAATGAGGCCTTTGAAGTCGGCGGTTCTCACCGAATCTACGCAACAAGTCTGTCGCCGCTTCATCCACAGTGGGTTCCTTCATCAATGAGTGTCCACGATGTAACGACTCAGTGTCGCTATGGCGATCCAAAAGTGACGCAACTGCAAAGTAAATGCCAAAAACAACCCCAAGGTCCAGACTTACTCTCCGCGGATTAGCATTTGCAACCCTGTAATCCAGTCGGCAGCTCTGACGAGCCACGCGAAAGCGGCCGCTGACGATTCCGCCCTCGTCGGCGTGGTCCATGGTCCTCTGGTCAGGGGTGACCCCCGGCCGTCCTGGGAAATGGATCCCGTTGCCGACGTTGTGGCCCATTGAACGGGTGCGCGCCGCGGAGATGCAAGATTCAACGACATGTGGAACTCCGACCCGAATGTCAGGCCACCGGCAATGAGCCATGTTACGGGACGCCCGGTTTTTCTGTGGAGGCCAGCGGCCATGAGCGGTCCGCACACATCGTCGACCATTGAGAAGTCTGATATTTGTCAATTGTAAACGTCGTCCCGTGGAAATGGTGCACCTTTGTCCTAGGAAATAAATACTGCCCGAGTCTCCCGCTTCTGAAACGGAAGAGAGAAGAGAGGAAGTATCACTACCTATCCAGACATCAGACTTCAGACTTTCGTCACACAGACAATAAGAAATTTCAGACTTCAGACTGCTGAGCACTGGCTGCAGCACATCATCATCATCATCATCGTCACCGTCAGCCTCAACATCACCTCCGACTTACCACCCTTGGTAGATGTTCTCCCTCTTCAAGACCACTCGTCTTTTGCCAACTTTGGCTCGTCCCACAAACAACCTTGCCCGAGCATTCTCCATCTCATCCGCCAGAATGGGCCTCACGCAAGATCAAATCAACATCGTCAAGTCGACGGCGCCCGTGCTCAAGGTGCACGGCGAGACCATCACGACCCTCTTCTACAAGGACATGATTGACACCCATCCCGAACTCAAGAACATTTTCAGTCTTCGCAACCAGGCCTCCGGTGAGCAGCCCCGGGCACTCGCCCAGTCTGTTCTCGCCTATGCCACGTATATCGACGATTTGCCCAGGCTCAAATCCGCCGTTGAGCACATCGCTCATAAGCATGCGTCGCTGTACATTCGCCCTGAGCACTACGACATTGTCGGCCACCACCTTATGAAGGCGATTGGGGAAGTCTTGGGCGACGCACTTACACCCGAGATCGCCGAGGCTTGGACACTAGCATACGGGCAGCTTGCGCAGGTTTTCATCGGCCGCGAGAAGGAGATGTACCAGGAAGCAGGCACCTGGACAAATTGGCGCAAGTTCAAGATCATCCGCCGCATCGACGAGTCCGACTCCGTCACCAGCTTCTACCTCGCACCCTCAGACGGCAAGCTCCCCCTGCCCAAGTATCTACCGGGCCAGTACATCTCCGTGCAGGTCCCAGTACCGCAACTCGGCGGCATCACTCAGCCCAGACAATACAGTCTCAGCGACGCGGCGACACAAGGAGAGTACTACCGCATCAGTGTCAAGCGTGAGGCGACAGTGGTGGACGCGCCGGAAGATGACCTGAAGAAGGGCCTGGTTCCCGGCCTCATCTCCAACCTGTTGCACGACGGCTACCAGGTTGGCGACGAGATCGATGTGTCGCACCCGCAAGGAGACTTCTTCCTGGATGCGAAAGAATTCGAAAAGGCGGACGTTCCGTTGGTGCTTCTCTCGGCAGGTGTCGGTGCAACGCCGCTCATGTCGATCCTCAACACGGTGCTGAGCCCGGAGTCCAAGACGCCGAACCGGCCGATCAAGTGGGTGCACGCCGCACGCAACAGCAGCAACTTGGTATTTGCCAAGCACATCCGGAACCTGACGCGGGAGCGAGAGAACGTCAGCGCGCATATCTTCCTCAATGAGGTCAAGCCAGGAGACGAGAAGGGGCAGGAGTACGATTACGAGCAGCACCTCGACCTGAAGCAATTGCCGGAAGAAGAGCTCGGCCTCGCCGACAAGAGAACCGAGTACTACGTCTGCGGGCCGAGAGATTGGATGCTCAAGGTGAGACTTGTGTTGGAAGGTTTGGGCGTCGAGAGGGAGAGAGTGAAGCTGGAGCTATTCGCAACTGGTGACGTCGAGCAGTAGTCAGTCAACAGCAGTGATTTGAGTATCAGATTAGACAGGGCTGAGAGAGAGGGAGAAAAGGAAGAAAGAAAGAAAGAAAGAAAGAAAGAAAAAGATTTGGCTGGGATCTTGCGAAGGGATGATTGGGCGGGGCGACAAGTTTTGGTATCGAACTGAAAGAGGTTCTTTTCCTCGCGCGCACCTTGCTTGAATTGTAATTGTATTGATAGATAGATACCTCTCTGAAATTTTCAAACAATTTTGTCATTGTGAACGACAAGTTGTGTGTCGAGAGTTCGTTACTTTTTTGCCTTGTGTCCTTTTTTCGTGACTTGGTCCTCCCTCGGCCGTGCGAGTCCAAGTTTTGCTTTTTCCCAGCTGCGCTGTTTCGAGGCGATGGGTTTTGCGAAAATTTTCTGACGTGTAGAATTTGACACGATCTTGCGCACAGGCTGAAAAATGAGGCTTCTAGACGCCAAGTCGAATCTTGGGATGTAGCAAGTTGATGAGATTCAGAAGATGAAGTTGATCTTGACATCGAACAACGATCGTTGTTGATAATACGCCCTCTATCGGCTAGGCACTGCATCGAATCGGGACGGTCCGCTGGTGAACCAGAGTTTGAGATTCTGATTTTGGGCGTTACGGTGTAGCAGCCAAGCGACTCGTTCGTGCCATTGCTATAATGCATCAAGTAAGCTGCCCGCCGTTGGGATGAAGCCTTCGTCCATGGTCCATAGGTTAAGGCGGAAGGGTGTGCGGACGAGGCTCGCGGCGTTCACGAAGGGAAGACTGGACGAAACCAGAAAAAATGGGTTGGGTGACACAGAGAAAGTCGTATTCCCGGTATACTTTGCTTTTTCTCAGCACAGAAAAGTGACGAGTAACTTGGCTCTGGCGCCCAAGTTGTGCATCGTGACGATGGATGCCAGGACCAGGCGTCGAGACACGGCTTGCAGGCGGGATGGCTCCCCGAGCGGGAGCTTGCGCGGGAGCGGGTGCGATCCGGGAGGGCAGCTAATGGAATTGGGACCAGCAGGGAGGCGGAATCATGGCTTTGGGTCCGTCGATCTGCGATGCAGCGACCCAACGATCCAGCAGCTACCCATGGAGCATCGGATCGACATGGATAGTCAGGAGGAGGCCAGCTGCATATTCCCCGTTCATCAGGGTCCGCCTTGATGGGATTTGGGATCCAATGTGAGATGCGATGAACGTCAGCGCAGGGGTGGGAGGGGTGTAGAAGAAGATATACCCAGAAAGATACGCTGAAAAGCCAGTCTACTTGACGGTAGACCTGAAGGGAGCAGGAGCCGAGGCGGCTGGCGATAGATCCGGATCAAGGGTCATGCTAGTATGGTAGAATATGTCTCCAATGTCTGAGTCTTGAGGGACCTAAGTTGGAGCTGATGGAGCTGATGGACGAGACGGGAGAGGTGGGCGAGATTCAGATGATGGATGTGAGGTCAGAGTAAAGAATTTGCGGCCAATAGATGGAGAGGCGTCGAGACCTGTGAGGATTGTCCGTACCTTACCGCGGTAAGTGACTTACATCTCGAGGCAAGACCTCACTGGATCGGCTCAGGGGTTCAGTTCGGCCGTGATTGGTGAGACCACGTGCCCGGGGAGTCGGGGCTCCGGTGCCGAGCGCTAAGAATAAAACAGGCAAAACCAGTGGCCCAGGTACGGCCAGGTCACGTTATTCTGGGAATGGGAGGCAAGAGGTACGCGGCTGTACAGAAGTAAGGTACCTGCTTGCCTTAACTTCGAGGTAGAATACCTTAGAGCCTGAGCAGGAAGTTGCGAGGGCAGTGGAGGAGTACTGAGGTGGGAGACGGAAGCTGCACCTGCCGCCCTCGGCCTCCGGGCAAGTCCCCACCTGCCGTCGCCGTCCCCGGATCCGTCGGCCGGAAACAGGTACGTACTTTGTGCTGCCATCCGGGTCGGGTGTGCCTTCCTCCCATCTTGCGTGCTGTCTACCTCCCGCTCAACGCTGCCACCTCAATCATTTCCACTTCTCACCAACACCAAGCCCCAATTCCAACACCAACATCCTCCCGCCCACTTGTCGACGAGACTGCCGTTTTTCCCTTTGGAATGTTCAACTCCCACTAGAGATTCCGTACGTGGCTGAGCGCGTGCAGTCGTACCCTTGGGCGCCGCTTCTCCATCTCTTTCGCCCATTCTTGCTTCCCTGCGTCAGGACAGGGGGCCCGCCGACATGACAGGGGCTCAATTCCCATCCATCTGGCACCACTAATCTTTTCCTTTCTCAATCATCTTTCTTCTTTCTCTTCCCCTTCCTCTCTTTTCCATTCACTCGGCTCCATCGCCCGTCCCGACGATCAGATTTATCGCCTCCCACCTCTTATTCTCCTAGTCAATCGCCTGCGCTAACTCTCTCATGGTATGGCCTCGACCACGGTCATATTCGACTGCTCACTGCTCACATCGAACCAGGCATCTCGCTCGATGGATCGATGGATCTCCGGAACTGTCCCGGCATTGCCAGGCCCCCATGTCTAATGATCTCACTCACATTGATCATTTTTCAACCCATCGTCGTCATTCCAGGGGCCTCGGGAAAAAATCATCGAGTGGAATCCTGACGGGCCTAAGGGCCAGAGTTCTGGAAGAGTCAGCTGCATTCCGTCGTGATGCCCACTCTCGCCCTGTCCTGCCACCCAAGATCCTGCGACCAGCCGAAACCCATCGCCCTCTCAGGGGACACGAATCACAAGGATGGCCACTGTGGAATGCCGGTACTCAAACTCTATCCACGCATCTTGGTCACACCTCTTCAGTCCTCACCCCCCATCATGGGACACCTGGAAGCTGCGAGCTATTCGTATACTTGGTAGAACTACCTGAAGCTGGAGCTGCCTGGAGCTCAACATTATTCGTGTACCGCATGGGGTCTCTCCAATGACCAGTCTCCAACCGACCCTCCGCCTGTTCTAGAGTTTATGGACCAACGGCCTCCGTGGTCGAGAACCGCTGCTGCCCGGATGTCGCCCCTCGGCGATGGAATAGTGTGCCTCGCGGAACTTGAATTTGGGCTCTGGATTGGCAGACTATCTAACACCCCACGCTGCGTGAGGGTCCTTCAGCGCGCCTCTCTCCATTATTCCAACGCGTCCAGCCGGCCCCAAAGCCGCCCAAGAACCTCTTTTGGGTCCCTCCCCCGTCAATATTGCACCTCGGTGCCAATATCGTTCACCTGATGTCGCAGTGCACTGGCCTAGAGTTCTCGTCTCTGCCGAGAAGCTGAAGAAATTTTCCGCGGGAGCGCGCATCCCGCCATGTAAGGACCCGAGAGACGACAAGCCAAGTCCGAAAGGGAGGGCAGCTGTCATAATGCACCAAACCGCAAAATCAACGCAACCCCGTCATGCCATGCCATGCCATGCTACCGGTTCTGACGGATGGCCGAGGCGCTGCGATAATGCCTAGTGTGGTGGAAGATGGGACTCGAGCTGAGCTGTCAACATACCTACGCGAGTCGTGGTTCAACAGCACGGGCAGTTGCATGATCTGATGCCTCATTCCGTGGAACGGCCCGCATTCGCGCACCTGGCACTGCGACCGCCGACTATTATGCTAAGCTGCTGGCTGCATCGTGCCGGCACTGCTCATGGCACTGTCTGGACCACCTGGAACACCAGTTCATCCGACCCAATTTTTGTCATTTCGTTTCGGCCGCAGTCGCCTGAACAATCGCAATCCGCACCAACTAAAACAAAGAATCTTATTCTTTGAAGCAGGAACATCAAACAACAATCGCATTGACAAGACGGTGGAAGGCGTCATACTCTGATCGGCTTCCAAACCAGCCTCGACGTTACCCGTAACCCGGGGCTACGCGGTGCCCAATCACAACATCCCACTCTGTCCTGTCTCACAGACTGGTGTGGTGACGCCGCTGACTGACTTCTTGGTGATCCCCCAGAGTCCCAGAGTGGTCATGGAGACTGGGCTGCCACGAGTCGAAGGCTGGGCGACGCGGCCTCTTCCGCCTTTCACACCTTGTGCAACGCACCTCGGTTTCTCGTACCTTTTTTCATGTCTCGTTGTGTCCCTCAAAAGCCTCCCTTGACACAAAAAGAGATTCCAGTTTTGTCTCCAGCCAGGGCAGACACGAGCACCTTTGGCCCGAGGATTCTCGACTGTATCATTCGTCCGTCGTATTATCCTCCTCTACTCCGTACACCGTAGGATACTCCGCACGGGATCCCGCCGTTCCTATCGAATGGCAAGGGTCTGACAGCCCAAACAACAACTCTTAGCTGTGAGATCACTAGCTTTCCTTAAGCTATTTGCGCCATCACGTCGGGTCGCCCTCTGACGTCCGGATTTGACCATGGCACAGCGGATACCAGAAGCTTGCAAGGGTCCGTCTTGAGGGGTAGTGTCGGTGATCCTTGCTAGCAATCAAGCCACCCACACTTTGGAGCTCCTCGATATCGCGCACTAAAACTGCATTCTCCCCAATCCGGCACGCAGCTCTAAGGGAATGCACGTTACTCACCGTCGACGGCGCGCCAGCCTAGGAACTCTCATGCTCTGCTCATCATCGACATCGTCTCCCGCTTGCCATCCAACCGCGCCCGCCAACTGCCCGCCTACAGCGCTTACTTGGCCTTCCCGCACGACAAAGAGACGGCGCCTTCCTGCCACCTTCTCGGCCGTATCCTTACCGATCTAACCTGCTTAAACCCACAACGGGCCCTACTCAACGGCCTCTCGTCGCAAGGCTGTCTCCTAGTCCACAACAACTTCCCACCATAACTTCCTTAGTCGACTACGGCATTACTTTTTTTCCCCGATGAAGATGTTGTCACTGGGCCTCCCAATCGTCAACTTCGGCCCTGGTTGCCCCCGGCGCTGACTCCGAACTTCACCGAGCGAGGCAAAAGGAGGCACAGAAGTCCAGCTGCAGGTGTGCTTCGCCCGGGTGGTGCGGGATGCCTCCCCTCTCGTTTTAGCTGGTCATCGTGCCTGAGGTCATCACGGCACGGCATCAGTGCCCCCCGCCTCTGGCAATAACGCACTGTGACAATCGTGGGATTCCAGATTGCATCGATCACTTGGGGGCTCCCATCTCGTCTGGTACACTGCGGCGCAAACACGGGATACCCTGGTCGAAAATCCAGATTGCCGGGTTCGCAGCCACCAACAAATATTTGGTAACAAACAACCACGCAAGCCAGCCCAGCAAAGGAAGCAAACAACCCTCGAATCCTGACAATTTCCACGCATAACGAGCAAACATGTCTACGAAACCGTTAGACAGTTTTATTTTGCGGCTTGATTTCTGGGTCTTGACTGAAATTGCTCCATCCATCGGCTAAGCAACATCGGCTTGGCTTCATCCCGCTTGCCCGGTGTCGTGTCGTCGTGTCAGGTCGTGTCGTCCATCCCATCCCCGAGCCCGCCGGCTCACCAAGTTGGTAATCGAACTGAATCTGGACTCTACTCGAGCCAAGACGGCTCTCTCCATTGGCTACGTTGCGAGAATCACGGCGACTACGGAGACTA